AATTGTAAGCATACTTCCATCGATAATAATTAATAGTTATTCAACGGATATCAAGCCTTGTTAACCCACTTCTAATTGGAGAAATAATAATAAAAAAACGAAATTAGATGTTTAAAAAAGCAAGAAAATATATAAACGAAAATGATATAAAAGCAAACAAAACACTTTTACACACGTGAACCTTCTATACTTTATATGTTGGTAATTAGATACGATTGACTTCCCGCCAATATGAGAATAGTTTGAAAAGTTCCTAATCTTGATAATCAAGAACTCTGAAAGAATATTCTCATATCAAATGTACAATAGAAACTTCAGAAAATAATCTGAAATCGGTAAACCAAACTCACAAAGTCTTGACATCGATCGTTAATGCATGGTCTTACGCTTCGACACTCACTACACAGTAAATGGCCTTGTATTTATAAATCCTCTATGGCATTACTGAAGACACCACTTACTGACATTACTTTTGTATCGTTAAGAATCCCTGACGTCAAAGCTCAGCCACATGAAGTGAATGGTTTCTAAGTAGCCGGAATACAGACATCATCAGCTCACGATGATAAAGAAGACCATGTCGATAACAAATCCAATATTAAGGTTATAAGACCATGCGTGTCCGCCATTACCCGTCGTGGACTTGACGCGCGGCAATAACACTAATAATGGATCGATACAGAATTTCTTCTTTAGGAAAAATGATTGCGAGGACCGTTGCTCTTATGAATAATATCTGTGTTGCGATTTGGCATTCAGTTCATTGGCGATTGAGTCCCAAGTCTTTAGCTGTACCCGAAGACGCCAATAGTTGTATATTTAATGAGGTTGGGGGGGGGAGCTTTGGTAATTGTCTCTGTAACACTGACGCGTCATCGAAACAAGGATATTCTCATGCGATACATCCATCTACCTCTGCATAACATAATTCGCATAAAAGCATGTCACGAATCCCAGCTGTCGAGACTATGGCATTACGATGGACACATAAAGTAATTGGACAATGCTACGAGACGACTCCGGAAGGCGAGTTGTTTATGATCAATAGGACAGCTGGTTAATGCGACCATTCAGGGAGTGAGGCGAGATTTGCGACAGGGATCTGGACGCAGAAGTGGGGAAACAGGTGAATTGTGTATGATTTACAGGTAACGGTAGTTGTAAGCAGAAAAGGCCTTTTGTATATTTTCTTCGAAGGAGTTAATCGACTACATTTTTAAACAATAGGTAAGGTGAGACACACACACACACACACACACACACACACACACACACACACACACACACACACACACACACACACACACACACACACAGTGAGAGAAAGAGAGAAAGAGAGAGTGAGAAATAGAGAGAGAAAGAGAGAGAAAGAGAGAGAAAGAAAGAGAGAGAGAGAGAGAGAGAGACAGATACAGACACAAAGAGAGACAAACAGATAAATAGATAGATAGATAGATAGATAGAGAGTAAAAAAGAGTAAAGAGAGAGGTAGAATAATAGAGATGGAAATAGAGTTAGAGAGATAGAAGTAAGAGAAAGAGAAAGAGATAGATAGATAGATAGAGTAAAAGAGATAGGGAGAGAGAGTAAAAGAGAGAGAGAGAGAGAGAGAGAGAGAGAGAGAGAGAGAGAGAGAGAGAGAGAGAGAGAGAGAGAGAGAGAGAGAGAGAGAGAGAGAGAGAAAGAGAGAGACAGAGATACAGAGAGAGACAGATAAATAGATAGAGAGAGAGTAAAGAAAGAATAAAGAGAGAGAGGGAGAATAATAGAGATGGAGATAGAGTAAGAGAGATAGGAGTAAGAGAGAGAGAGAGAGAGAGAGAGAGAGAGAGAGAGAGAGAGAGAGAGAGAGAGAGAGAGAGAGAGAGAGAGAGAGAGAGAGAAAGAGAGAGAGAGAGTAAAAGAGATAGAGAGAGAGAGTAAAATAGATATTATCTGGTAGCATGTTCCATAACTTGGGTCCACGTATTTCCATTTGTCATATCCCTGTATAGGTATTCGATCTCTTGACAAAAAGGAGAATTTATTTGACGTATCTTGACACCTGCTGTGTTCCCTACGGTTTGCAAGGGCATTAACCATTGCAATTCCCATGAATGAATGAGTTTGTAAATGATGGCACATGTGTCATAGCTGCATTTAGAGTGAATTTTTAACCATTTTATTTTTTGATATGAGAGTAAGAGTGAGGGGGAGTAAGAGAGAGAGTAAGAGAAAGAGGAAGAGAGAGAGAGAGAGAGAGAGAGAGAGAGAGAGAGAGAGAGAGAGAGAGAGAGAGAGAGAGAGAGAGAGAGAGAGAGAGAGAGAGAGAGAGAGAGAGAGAGAGAGAGAGAGAGAGAGAGAGAGAGAGAGAGAGAGAGAGAGAGAGAGAGAGAGAGAGAGAGAGAGAGAGAAGAGAGAGAGAAGAGAGAGAGAGAGAGAGAGAGAGAGAGAGAGAGAGAGAGAGAGAGAGAGAGAGAGAGAGAGAGAGAGAGAGAGAGAGAGAGAGAGAGAGAGAGAG